GGAGGAGCAAGCGCCACTTTCCCATGGACACTGCGCAGTCGGCTGCTCCGAGCACATCACAGCTTGGCTCGGCCCCGGAAGCCGATTCGGCACGTCCGACCGTCGCAAAGGCGTTCGGAAGGGCCGGGATGGCGGCCAAGTTCCGTCCGAGCACCCGCGAAGGCGCCACGGGTTCGCGCTCGCCCATGAGCTTTGCGGCCGGCCCGCGATCGACGAGCAGAGGCGCAAACAGCCTCGAGTTCGGAGGAGGCGTCGTGCCAGACGACGACTCGCATCCGCACTCGGACCTTTCCTCGGATGCAGACCAAGGCGACTCGGCCAAGCACACGCAGCACTCGCGCCTCGCATCCATCGGCTCGCTCGGCAGTTTCGAGGACTTTCGCTCCATCATCGCCTTTTCGTCGGCATCCAATCCGCTCGACGAGAGCCCGGCACTCACCAACTCGACGAGCTACTCCAGTCCAGACTTTGCCTCGATCGCGCCAGTCGCCAAGAACAAGCCTCAGCCCCCTCTGCCTCCGCCTCCTCTCGTCACAAAGCCCCAGCTGGGCGTGGCTGCCGCTGCCGCTGCTGCTGCCACTGCTGCTGCACCGCGATCGCCGAGGAAACCAGTACCGACATTGGGCGCGCTCGCCGCCGACGAACCGGCACATCTCAGACCGCAGTCGACCGGCGTCCAGAGGTGCTCCGTCGCACCGAGCGTGCCCGAGAGCGTCTCCCAGCCAGGTTCGTCGCAGCTCGCAAGCGAGGAGTTCCACTCCAACGCGCACAGCATGTCGAGCACCGATGCGCTGCGCAAGCTCGAAGACAGCATCCGCGACGGTCCGGGCAGGCAGGCCACGTTTGGACTCGGCATCGTGTCGCACGAAGATGCAGGCGCAGCCGGGCGCAGACATACAAAGACCAGCAGCGACATGTCCGGGCACAGCTCCGGCGACAGCTGGGGGCGCACCTCGTTTGGTCGAGACCCGCTGCGCCTGCTCGCCGACTCGGACGCCAATGCCGACGGCCCGGCACGCGCCGCCTCGCTCGCGTCGAGCAAGACCCAAAAGACGCAAGTCAGCGACAGCGGGCATAGCACCAACACGGCAGAGACTAGCACCGACATCCACGATTCGGACCAGCTCTCTACCATCAAGGAACGCACAGAGTCGCCCGAGTCGGTGCTCAAACGTCACATCTCGATGGACTCGGGCTTCAGCCGGTCCATCAACGCCGAGTTTTCGGATGCAAGAACTTCGAGGGCCTCGGGCTCGTCGACCGGCTCGGAATTGCAGAGTGCAGCATCGCAGAATGCGCCACGCCGCGATAGGGGCAGAGCAGACAAGGGCGTAAGCGCCTCTTTGCAGGCTCAGACCGCAGTCAACGGCATCGGCTCGCCAACATTTGGATTCCGTCAGCGACACACGTCGCATTCGTCGGCGGTCAACGAGCTGCTGCCGCCCCTGGAGCTCGAGGCGGCCGAGTTCAAGCCGCATTCCAGGTCGGCCTCGACGGCGTCGTCGAGCAAGTCGACCAAGTCGCGCCTTGCGCCCGCCGAGCCGGCCATCGCGGGACTGCGAAGGGGCTCGGCCGGCGTCGTCTCCACGGCTGGCGCGTCGACGCGCTCGATCGCAGAGCCGTACACGGCACCGCTGCCGAGCATGCCGTTCCCAACCTCGACGTCAACGCCGATCTTTCACGCCAGCTTTGCACGCACAGCTGCGCAGGCGTCCGAGCCCAACACGCCCAATCTGGCATACGACGCTGCACTCGCCAAGGCCGTGGGCAAGGAACGCAAGATGCGCCCCACCGCGCTCGTGCTCAACCACACGGCGCTGTCGGCCATGTCGCCGCTCTCGCCGAGCGGACTGAGCTTCAAGGGTCTCGCGAGTCCGGGCAAGCCGCGCGCACCGCCCCCCTCGGCACCACCGACTGAACCGCTCCCGCC